TGCCACATTTACCGAGTGATTTGACTCTACAAGATGCGAACACACCGCGCTTGTAATTGTCTTAATTGTTCCAGTCCTCAGCCAAGCCGGGTGGTGTTCGCGAATGCGATCGGATAAGCGCCTGGTCGTGTACCCAGTCCCACAGAAACAGGTGAATGAATATGCACAGGATGAGGATTCACAACCCCCGTTGTGCTCCCAGAAGAAATTTGTGCAAGCACTTAATTTCCCCTGGCCCACTTCAGCCATACAAACACGTGGGTAATCACTTTAACTTTTGACACTGATTAATTTCACAAAAAATAGTTCGTTAACAAATTCGCACGTTTTACGTGAAAACTTAACCTAGGAAAAGTGTTTTGATTCACTTTACGAGTGCAGACCATTGTCGCGCCACGTTTGAGTCAATCATATACGGTTAGATGGCGTTCGTTTTATTGGTAGGTATCTTTTCTGCATTAGTGGGGCTTTGTGGGGCTCACTGATTCTAGTCCAAAGACATACTTTTCGGTTATCGACAATGAGCCCTTTCTGCTGTACATCACACTAAAGAGTGTACTGAAAACATTTCATCCTCAGCGGAAAAAGCGATCATATGTTGTCAGTATGACAGTCGTATTCGGAATCAAGTGCTTCATTCTACACTTGCTTCTACGATTTTCAGGCCCCTACAAACGTTGAATTTACTTTGGTTTCTTTATGCTGGTTTTCTTCATATATAAAACCAGCAATAAACGTGACCAACGTTGGATTCAACGAATGCCTCGCCGTAGAATGAAATCTTCGTTCCAAATACGCCATCTATGTCAACTGGTTTGGTAAATGACGACTAGTAAAGCAAACCGAGTTTTTTTTCTCTTTAAGTTTATCGTCTTCAATGAAGCATGATTTGATTTGATTTTTCCATATACCCTCACCGATTTTTCTGAGATTTATCGACAACTTGCAATCATTTTCATAAGAACGGTTGTGTTGACTCCAAACTATTTTGTGTAGTTTAAAGCTGACCTTGATCACTCGTGATTGAGTGTCTGGTGATGAAAAGAAAATATCCTGCTTAATCGCTTAATTCCTGCTTAATCTCCGTATAATGTTAGAGCTTTCCAAAATGCAGCTGTTTTTCTAGGAAACTGAGGGTTTTAGTTTTCAGGTTTTACCACCATTAAGCATGCAATGGTTTTGGTTGGACATTTGGTCGAAGCACTGGACAACCGGTCGGAATTTTGGAAGCAATATGAAGATATGTGAACAATTCAGGTAGGCTAAGGTTGCTAGGATAGTGAGTAGATGCACAAGCTTCCCTGTTTGGACATTCAGTCATATCACTCAATATGTCTGATCATTGAAACTTCTTTCTTTTTATAAAGACTGTTGTACCGTGATGTGTTTGGCACAATCTGAACTCAGGCGTGTGTGAAAATATATAATATATACAGGTCTAATCGAAACTGAAGCAACAGGTCCCTGTGAAACACTTGTGGGTTCGTATAGGCAACAGCATTTATACTGAAGTAATTATTTTTTCCAAATAAAAATAACCACAACTTTATGAGTCTATAAAGACTCATATATATGTGTATATATAAATATATATATATAACATATGATATAAACCTCATCGTGGATTACACTGATCCTGAAGTCCTCAATCGGGCAGCCAAAAATGCAACCAATATGCTTAATTCCAAGTCTTGGGGACCTCGGGATGATGGTCACTGGTGATCAGGTACACTGAGTGATATGGCTGGATGTCGCAAACAGTGGCGCTCGTGTATCCACTCAGTAATCGCTTAACACCATTCTATAAGAATTCTCCATTTTCCGCTTGAATTTGCTTTCAACATTCCAATCTTCTTTCTGTTTTTTTTTATCCAAATGGGACACAAAAAGACAGCAACGAAAACCGGCGTACGAAAGTGCATGGTCAATGGTTGTAAAACTGAAAACTGAAATTCCAAGTCAAAGTTTTCAAACTCAAACACCGGATTTTAGCTTGACCACCTTAAACGTTCTTCCATCCGTTCTATGATTCGGAAAATTCACACTCCGAGGGCAGGGTTAGAGCATTCTCAGCCGACACTTTTTGAGGATACAAAGGAAGAAAACAGTTAGATGATGTTCCTGAGATTTGAATTCATCACCTCCAGCTTGCAGTGGTGACCTTAACCTTTTCTATTATGACAAACGTTTGACAGCGAGTTTCATCATCTTCTCACTCTATTCGATCCTATACAACCCCGGACTGAAGCTAACCGCAAGGCATTAGGGTGTATTTTCGAGCGCAACCGGGATTCCAGTAGTTGGTTTTGAATACCCCTATGATTGATTTTCAAATTCTTAATGAATGACGTGTGTATATTTCTAGGTATATGTTTTGGATTTTGTTATGATTTCCAACAGTATAGCTATGCATCATTTTTTGTCAACGTAGGAGGCCTTCTGTTCTGTTTTTCAGCCCATGTGGTCAGATCGCAACGCTTCAACACAACCCTATTCGGATTCACGTGACGAAAACGATAGCATGAAAGAGCTCTATAATGCAAATAATCTTAGTGTAACCAAGACCAACAATTCAGGCTGCTCCACCCTATCACGTAATGTGCCACAATCTCCTCACGTGCTTCGGGGATCCGTGGACAGATCCCGTGATGCTCCTGATCAATCTACCCCAATTCCCGAACCCAGAAGTTCAATCACAGTTCATTCCCGGTTCAAACAGTTCTGGGTTGAAAGTTTTGTTAGCGGGCGATCGAGAACAAAATCTGAAAATCAAACCACCATAGGAGCACATTTACGCGGTGAAAGTGCACGCATGCGAAGTCCTGTCACTGAATTAGATTCGGGAAGTATGCCCAGGAAGGATGTGCTTCCGCCACATGCACATACAATCACGGGAGGATCTAGCCAAGCCGCTGCATTGCTGAGACGTTTGGCACAGTACACAAACATGTCCACACCTCCTTCGGATCAAACATCCGTCAGATCCGGTAATGACAGCTTGAAACGCACCACTCCCGGTCGACGAGGTATTTTAGGCCATGCCAGTGGTGCCTCTTCTGCTGGTGGTCGTTCCGGATCTGTGCCGATTCCTCCAGCTCATTCTCTATTTGTTCAAGGTCATCGGCGTCACAAATCACCGCGATCCATGATTGGACGACTGGTTCCCGGCTCCAGCGGTTGGGGCAAGAGTACAGAAGACGTGTTATCTTTGGATTTGCCGGATCCCTCTAAACTACCTCGTGAAGAACCTTGTAGCAGTCTGGAATTCACCCATGCGCGTCTGAAAAATCCGAAAAAAGTGAGCTGATTAAAAGGACCAAAAGATGTATATGCTGCAGTCCTGAGTTGTACAACTGTCGTTAAATGTGCTATAATGTATAACTTTAAGTACATTTACTGACGTTTCCCGTGTGCAAATAAAACCACCAATGTATTCCGATTGAAGTGGCCTGATCTCAAATAATCAATGTTTTACACTGATTTGTGTTTGACTAATTTTGATTGATTTTGGATCTTGGAACTGTGGGCGTTAGAAACCGAGGTATTTCCATTTACATTCTCACTTGGAGTGTACTTGTATTACGGGTCTGAGAACCAGCCGTCATGGTAACCAACTAACACATCTGAATAGCTTTGATGCACTTCAGATGACTAGATCATCATGTCGTACAAGTTCGATTTCTCACTTTAGTGGTTTTGTTTGAGCGGTGTGAATTACCCTGTCCGTTGTGCTTTAACCGATAAGATCGGAGGTTTGAAGTTTTTCGGATTTGTATCTCTATAATGTCCTGTTTCATTCCAACTTCAAAACATTGGCATCTTGGTTACCAGGACCAAACACCTGATCTCCCTGGTAGTTGTTCACAGGACTAGATGTGGACGCAGTGACAGGTCTCCTCAATACTGCCTTACTTTGTGGCTGAGGCAAAATGGATAGTTTTTAACCATGTGACTCACTGATGTATTTGATGAATAGATGTATCTATGTAATCATACAGGGTTACTCAACATTCACTGCCCTCGAATTTGCAATGTTATTCCCGTTATAAATGTATTCCCGTCGTTTGTGAAGAACAAGTGACTGAACTGAAGCGGGCTGACTGTAACTGTGTCAAAACGATTTACAAGATCAACGATTGAAATACAGATCAATACTAGTAAGGTCGATAGCGAGGCCGACCAGTCACGTGACATCCGATGCGAGTGACCTACGGCATGTTTTGAGCTCTCATCACAGATGCCTATTAGTTTCTGATTTTTCAAATTGTTTTGAGTTGCCAATAGGATGATCTCATAATTAGCAAGTCGGTACTAAAGTTTGGTTAGACTCTTCTGTTTGATAGACATGGTGACCTGACTTTCAACATTCTTCACATCAAACTCTTTTTTTCACTTCGAATAAATTTTACGACTACCAGTTACGACGCTATCTAACAATTGCCTTGTCATACTAAAGATGACTGTTACTATAAGAAAGAGATTTGGTAGCTTGCAATTGAGAGGATTTGGAATTTTTATTACACACTTTCGGTGTACTGAACAGTAGACGGATAAACGCCATAATTACGAGATCCTATTAATTAGCCATAGAAATCGGAGACTTAACCCACAGGATTGACGAACCACTTACGACCAAGCTAGGTGAGGCGTGGTACTAAACCAAGTGACAATGAAATTGCCTACAACCAAAAGTGAATGCTGTTGCTTTTTTGGCGGGGGAGAGAGGGTTTGACCGTCGGTCCCGAGGCCCAAAGCATGCCGGTCTCAACGACTTCACCACCACCGCCAGCACAACCCAAAAGCACACGTTACTGTTTGATGCCGAGATATCTGCCCGTTGGCCTATAGACGAGGAAGTGAATGAATTGTAATTCTATAGTTCTATGCATTATCATGATCTCAGTCAACGCTTTTACATGCTTTGTAGATTCCTCAAAAATTGAAGGCTCGCACTGGATTTGATGTTCATCGACGTAAACGAGGTAAGCTTTTGTTGATTAATGCAGTGCCGAACACAATTTATATTTTTAATGAACTCAAGCAAACTCTTAGGGCTTTCTCCGTGAGTATTACGATGAGAACCAAAACAAAATTTCATTTTAATATAATTATGATGATAAACTTTCATTCACTCTTGCGTTTCCTTACAAGTAGAAACATTCGCGTAGTCATAATAGCTTTGAACAGAAATTCACCAAGAAATATATATATGCATCGGGGAGTTCATCAGTAACGTTTTGGTAACCCTAAGACAAACGTCTTTTGTTCAAAAACAACAAAAAATCTAATATAATGAGGTTGGGTGCCAAGGTTCCACAATCCTACTAAGACGCATACATTTCTTCATCCTTTGAATTACCAGTTTTGTTCAATGCAACTGAACTCGTTCACAGTCGAATAGAGTCACAATCATTGTTTTGGTTAGTTTTAATTGTGATTCATTTAGGGTTTCAGGATTGAATTCTGCCAAGCGTAGCACCCTATCTAGGGATTTTATGCATCATGAAATGTCACTTATGAATTATTATAGTAGATATTTCTTCTGAGGTTACTTCAACGCTCAAATCAGTATACGTGGACACATTTGGAAGGTGTTTAGGCAACCCACGTGCAGTTCCAGCCCACCGGAACGGACAATGTGGGTCACCTACTTCAAATTTTTTCTCGAAACACGCATAAGTCTTTTTAAGCACTGAGTTCTTTATTTGTTTTCCTCAATAGATATCACTGCTATCATCTACCGCTGGTGAGGGTCTGTTTAAAACTAGTTGCAACAACTAGCAACTATCACTCTCCATCGCGACTGCGCAAATTCTGCCAGTTGATGCCAGTCCTCCATCTGAAATGGAGGTATCTCGGGAAATAAGTTATCTCAAAAGGCATAAGGCCTCTGGCCCAGATGGGCTGTTTCCATCTGCGTTTAAGGATGAAGATTTAGCATTGGTTTCGGAGTTGACGAATCTCCTGGGCTTAGTGTGGGAGAGGGAAGAGGTTCCAGTTGAATGGTGCGAATCGGTTATCACACCGATTTACAATAAAGGTGACAAATCGTCTTGTGAAAACCACAGAGGAATTAGTTTATTCAACATTGCTTCTAAACTTCTCGCGGGTATCATACTCCGTCGATTGTCTGCCGCACGTGAAGAGTGCACGCACGAGAACCAGGCTGGTTTTAGGCCTGGTCGAGGTTGTATCGACCACATCTTCACTCCTCACGAAACTCTGTAGCACTGATATTCTTTTCGTAGACCCATCATCTCTATCTTCCTGGATTTTAAAGCGACTCAGTCAACCGCTCTAAACTCTGGCGCTGCCTTTCCCTGAAAGATGTACTCGAGAAGTTAATTTCAATATTACGATCGCTTTATACTCATAGCCGAAGCCGAGTCCTAGCTTACGACACGCTTACCACGGAAAGTGGTGTTCGACAGGGTTGCCCTCTCTCTCCATTTCTATTTAACTTTGTTATAGATCTGATTATGGAAACAGCCCTATCCTTGTGCGAGGATAGTGGCATCGATTTACTCCCAGGTGGCAGGCTGTCTGATCTAGAGTACGCAGACGACATTGTGTTACTAGGTGAAGATCCAGGTAAGTTACAAGCATTTCTGGAAAGTTTGAGTGCTAGTGTAGCCATGTTTAGTATGCGTTTTGCACCTTCAAAGTGTAAATGCCACCATATAACTGGTTTGGTTCAGCACCCAGCTTCACTCTCACTGGGGAAGTAATAGAGCAGGTGGATAAGTTTTGTTATCTGGGCAGCTACATCTCACCCGGTGGACGCATCACGGATGAAGTGTCAGCTCGCATACAGAAGGCTCGGTTGGCATTTGCTAACTTGAGACATCTGTGGCGCCGTCGCGACATCCGGCTGTCTGTGAAGGGTCGAGTGTATGCCGCGACAGTTCGGCCAGTCCTGCTATACGGTGCAGAAACTTGGCCATTAAGAAAACAGGACAAAGATAGACTGTCGGTGTTTGAACACCGCTGTCTACGCAGCATTGCACGAATCTGGTGCGGCAACCGGACGAGCAATGCTAAGGTTAGGCGAAAAGTTTTCTGCAACCGCGGTCGCCCACTGGAGCAAGTGGTCGACCTCCATAGATTACGTTGTTTGGGGCATGTGTTATACATGTCACCAAATAGATTGCCACGGCGAGCGATGTTTGCCAAGGTAGGTAGTGGGTAGAAGAAAACCAAGGGTGCTTAAGCTAAGACCTGGCACGAGGGTATGAAAACCCTGACCAGGAGTCTGGGTCACATAGGTTCCGTTAGGCTTCCTGGCTGGGGACCTCGGGATGGTCGTACCCGATAGTTAGAGACACTGAGTGATATGGCTGTGTGTCGTAAACAGTGGCGTTCGTGCGTCTTCTCAATTTCTCTGTATCATTAGTCCACTGAACTTTTCCATTTTCTCTTCGATCCTACTTTCAACCTTTCCTGTCTTTCTTCTAATGTTCATCCAAATGGGCAGCCGAAAGAAACCAAAACCGGCGCACGATAGTGCATGGGTAATGGTTGTACAAACTGAACTGAACTGAACTGAACTGGGCAAAGATTTGTAGTTCTCACAGTGTTCAACGTAACAAACCAAGTAGTGATCGGGTTATGTACGGGAAAACCAAACTAATAAATTTGAGGGCAGTCCCTCAAAAATGCCCGCAGGCCAAAACCGAGGCTTTTTGGCGCTTAGTTGTCTCTTTTTGATCCCAGTCATTTGATGATTAATCATGAAAAGAGCTACATGCGGTCCGAGAGGAACACATCCGTAATTACTTGTTTCAAAAATTTACACTGTGCCCGAAAAACGGGGATAAATGCGCTCTGGTGCCACGAGGAATTTCTGGCGACGAATACAGAGGATTATGTCAAATAATCGTTCATTCTTGCCTCAGCCTTCCATGACCAGTGGAAGCAAGAAAATGATAACACTTGTGAGGTTTGTTAAAGATCGAGTTAAGATAGCTGGGTTCATTAAAGCACGTTCAGAGCATTTTGGCTGTTTATAGCTACTTCGAGATCACCCTCTAACAGGCTGATCAGCTAGCTCTTGTCTCAACTATGAAGGATGAACTTGATTTCCCTTTGCAACTGTAGTCAGCGGCTTTCAACTTCCATTTACAACCCATAGCGAAAACCCCTTTTGTTCCGGACGAGGTCCTCGAAAATTTTGTGAATCCCGTCGCTGAAAGATCTTACTAGTGTTTTATTTTGCTGAATCTCGTGNGTGACTCGTCCGTTTGATTCCCTTAATCCGGTTCAGCTGTGTTCCTACCTTGTACTGTGTTTCACCTTTTGCACTTTGTTGCGGCTGTGTTAGCCAGGAATGCAGGTACCTCCCGCTGAATTTATTTGGTAATGCGAACATAGTCTGGGATACTTATTTAATGTCTCTCAGCCTCACTACTTTTCACTCGGAACCTGATCGAATAGTAAATTTTTGCATTTGCTTCAAACTTTATTGCTTACAAGTATACTGGTAGTAGTATTGTGTAAGTGATTGTTCTTCAATTGTTTCATGCTCCCAAATTTATAAGAATTCAGAAAAATGCAGGTTGTTTGTTTTCTTGCTGATGGAAGCGCGAAAAAATTACGACGCACAATGAATCTGTCCAGTTTCCTCTTTCTGCCTTCTCGTACTATGGGATAATGGTTGACCCTAACCACAATTTTAGTCTAAACAGAGTTTATGACAGTCATTCTCCCAACAACAGCATGCATTCTAGCATGCCCTTGTGTTTCAAAAAGGGATCTCGTTTTTTGACACTGATATATTACAACCACTAGAAAGGGTGTGAAAACCATAGTCACGGACGATGACCTCAAGTGGTATGCACAAGTCCGGCGCTTGGAGTGGTGAACCACATGGCTTTATAGGATTGACGTGGTTATGGGTCGAGTGACAGCGCAGCTTCTCATTCATTACCTTATGCGTATATGCTCATGAAAAAATACTGTCCCCCAAATGCTATCCCTAATTGCAGACCTGAAGCAAATGCAGTCCATCATCGCCTCAAATTTCTTGGACACCACTTTTTGGATTTTGCAGTTTTAGGACACATGTGTTCCAGCTCTCCCTATTTTTGGGTATTTCGATAGCTGTGTTATAAGCTCATGGTTAGAATAACTGATACAGAACAGGGTTTTTCATTGCATCATCAAATAGAAATAGATGTGTAAATTTAAACAGCATAATTTGGTATTTTAGCTCCAGTTGCGTTATTCATGCAAACTGTAAATTTATTTAAGTAATTACTCGTGTGCAGATTTTTCTCCCTGTATTGCGAAGGTGATTTTTGTTTGTTGTTTCACTACGGCTNNNTGCCCAAGTTAAACCTTTGATTGACTTGACGACGTAGGCGCTCTACGTTGACAGTAGATTTTCAGGATCCCGGGTGCATTATTAAAATGCAGCTCGTTAAACGGTCCATTATGCAGTCGGACGGTTAAGGGCATAAAGCTATATGATTGAGGCCATCTTTGAGTCTTACTAGTCTGAGCTATCATCAGCCGCTCACCTTCTCTTTGTATCGTTCTCCCTCTTTCTCTCTCTATACCAATTACATGGTCACACTTCCCACATCAACACCTTTTTTTAGAATCGGAGATACTAGCCGCTCCATAAACACTCGATTAATGTATAACAAACTCCCTGTCCCTCATTCGGGTCAATCGACCGATGTATGGGAATAGCCATGAATGCGCCTACGCGCTCGTGTTAATCGATCGCGTCTTCCGATCTAGATTTGTTCGCCATTTGTCCATCGACCAATGCACGTTCATGAACGAGGTCGGTTTGACCAACAAATAGTGGTAAATGCATTTATCGCCATATGCACCCGATTGAGAGAGAGAGAAGGCGTTTCGAAGCGAACGTGTTCCTTTTCTCTCTCTCTCCCTCTCTCTGGTCATCCGAATAGGCTTGTAACACCTTTGTTCGGGATATTGGTTCTCTTGGATGTATAGACCACCATTTGTATCACTTGACTTCGAAATTGATCTATAAAAAACTGTGCTGTGAGAATGTTCGAGAAAACAAGTGCTTCTATAGATAAATATGATGTTACTACTCACACTTTATTTCACTGCTTACCTGAAACGAGTCCGTGACGTCATAATGTGTGTTGCTTATCTTTCGCCTCGGTCCAAAGTTTTTATGGGGTCTAGTAAAATCCAGCTATCCCTCAATTCAGTAGTTCAGTTCATACTATAGAGTATGTCTGAGAACTAACGATCGAACTTGACCCGATCAGTCAGCTGATCGAAAGCGTTCTGCACACATTTGTCTGGTGGATAGGCTGAAACGGGTAAAGCAAATTGCGAGCCGGTCGCAACCCCGTGCATTCACGTACCCATCCACTGGTGTATGATCTATAATTCCGATCGTGACTCATGCACTCCATGCGCCCGTCCATCGAACTCTCCGTCGCGAGAGAGCATTCGTTCACTCATCCGTTCTGCCTCTCGTTGTTGTGCCCTTGTGTCATTGTTGTGTTTGATCGTGGCATAACTTGTATTTAATCTGGTCTGTGACGGAAGGAAGGATTGGTTAGATGGATGTTTCTCCACTCACATCATACTTCAAATAGGCCTGTGCGCGGACAAATGAGCTGCATGTTGTTGTTACTGTTGTTGTTGTTGGTGGTGTATGTGATGAGATGTACACGGACAAGTTGAGTGACTTTTTCCTTCAAAAAGAATTCACACACCGCACGACGAGTTGAATGGTCTTCACCGATTAGTCGAATGATATTGTGACTGTTTTACGGATTCCCATTTAATTAGAAGACCTTTTCCCTTATAGTCTGGAGACTGATCTGTTATTCTTTACTTGACACACAAGAAAGCAACTGGAATTGGATTACAAGTTCCAACGTGCTGACTTATAGTAAAACATGAGATTCCGTTTTGAACTTGTAGAAGTTATATCTTAATAATTCTATAGTCCGAACGGATGAGGGAGGATATTTGAACAATTGAAAAACCAAACTGCTGCGCGCAGAATTTCCGGTAGTTATTTGATCCTCTCGTGCTAGAGAGCATTATTTTCGGTCTTTCTTGGTGTGTATAGATAACAGTAAATATCGTGTGTTACGTCCACTATTCCCTATATCAGAAACTGGTTACTATACAAGCATGCGTTACCTCCAGTGACTGAGTGGTTTTAAGGAATTCTGAACGTTTGGGGACATTATGCTCGCACATGTTCTAGTTCGACTTCATTCATTCATTCATTCATTCAGCCAACCAACCAACCCACCCACAGACGCATTTCCAATCTGGCTAGTTTTTCTCTAGTGTTTCATCACAGATGTTGCGGTGAGACCAGCATATGGGCTGTATGACAAGACGGTAAGAGAAACCGGGGGATGGCGGACAAGGTGGGGGTGGGGAACAAACAGTTGCAATCGCGGGAGTCACAAGTCAGTCTCCAATCGCAGTGCGTGACATTTTTCTCTGATGGCCTGTGCACTACGTGAATTGAACACAGTGTCTTTTTTACTCATACAAATTCGTTTGGGAAACGTGCCAGAAACGTGCGTGCAACTTATCGACTAGTGAGTGGTTTGTAGTGGAGCTTGTTGCATATCGATGCTTACGAATTGTGACGCGCTTTTCGTCATAGCGCGCGCTCTCTCTCGGTACTTTGAATTTTGCTATTTCACTTTTATTGCATGAAAAACAAATACTCGCCTGTTCGTCGAGCTTGATGATTTGCTTGCAAACACTTTACCTGACATCCTCAGTCCTTGCGCAGGT